CTAACAGAAATAGGAAGTAACTAGGCTGTAAACAACTGGGGCATATGTGTCGGAATAAGCAAATTGGAATAGACACAGGTATTGACACTTAAAGCTAGATCAGGAAAGATTTTGCGGCTTGCCTGGGGGCAAGATTTCCGTGATACTTTGCAATTAAGATAAAGCACACCTCTACCCCAATATAACACGAATTTGGATATAATGCAGTAAAGCAGCGCTCCGGAGGGGCAGGGCTGCGTGCTCCAGTGGATCAAAGCAAGTTTGATATAACGCAGTTTCGCCTATAACACGGTAAGATTTTTTGGTTCCCGAGGACAGCGTTATATCGGGGTAGAGGTGTATCTAGCAAGGAATGGAATTTTACAAAGCAGTAACCCATGATATATTTTATGTTCTACAATATATTTTTGCAGTGTAGTAACTGCAACATATTCGCAAGGTATGTAATGCATAAAAAAGGCCATAAACAATGACTAACCAGTAGGTTTTGAAACAGTTGGAAAATTACCAGGAAAAGAGAACTGAGGAAAGAGCCTAAGGGCATGTATACACTTACCGGGGATCAATGCTGCTGCTGCAGTCGATGTACCGGGCGTTGATTTAGCGGGTCTAGTGAAGACCCACTAAATCGACCGCAGATCGCTCTCCTGTCAATTTCAGTACTCCACCACAATGAGTAGTGTAAGGTAAGTTGACGGGAGAACATCTCCCGTCGATGCAGTGCGATGTAGACACTACAGTAAGTTGATCTGAGCTATGTCGACTCCAGCTACGTTATTCACTGGAGTTGAGCAACTTAGGTCGACTTACCCCCGTAGTGTAGACAAGTCCTAAGATATGGAGAAGTATATACCAAAAGGAGGAAATTGATAAGGGTTGAAATGTTGAACTAAGGAGAGTTACCAGAGTATAATTACCACAAGAAATCATAAGGAAGTAAGACCACTGGCAGACAGGATCCAGACTGTCTGAAGCTATGGAGAAGGCCTTCCACAGTTGTAGGTAATTGCATGCCTCTCTGTATGTGCTGTCTTGGCTGTTTAATAAATTAAATCAAAGCTGACTTGTTAACCAAATCTAAATTTAAGAGAAGGCTATTCATTAAACATATAATCACACTTAAAATCCTTATCCATTATTAGCTATTCATTTATTAATTATTGACAAATTATTGGTTATCAACACAAGAAATATGTAAACTACAGTCACTGGAAGACCTGTTCTCTATACTGGTAATGTCTGACCTTTCTGTATTATGCTGTTTTATTGCTAATCAATAAAGTGATTGAGCGAGTTATCTGAGATCTCATTAACTGATGACAAACTTAATGAGCAACCACCTCAAACGACTTACAGGATCACATTTCTAGCTGTAATGGGAATGGGGCCTCATAGTGACTGGATTTCATGAGGACAGAGGACAGTATCCCAGATGTGTGAGGCATTAAGGGTAAGGGATTACAGATCAAGGAAGAGATGCCTTTTTTTTTCATTTCTCAATAGGCTTCATTTAATAAAAGTAGCACTACTTTACACTGTTAACTCTGGGTGCTATTAATTAAACATGAATGCCCCAGTGAAAGTGGGTGTGCCTGTTACGAAACAGTGAGTTTGTGTATTTCTTTGGTTGTGCTGGGGACATTTGTGACACTAGCTCACAACAAAAGCACCCCTTTTGGCTCCTTACTAGGGAACACATTGCTTTTCTCTGGAAGGTTGTGGGGATAAATCCCTTGTTCCTGAAGAAATTCTAAGGGGATCCGTTTTTGCTCAGCTGCCTGCTTGTTCCCTCTCACTGGGAAGAGACTGAGATCTGAGCCCCTCTTTTACCTTTCTGCAAATTCAACTTTATTTTTTCATCAACTGCCATGATGTTGTTCAGTCCCAATAGCCACATCAGGGCAGACCAGTCGTTCATCTCGACCTGTGTCTGACAGCGGCCAGCACTACATGGTTGGAATGTGCAGGAAACCCCGTTGTGGACATGACAAAATCTGTCCCTAGCAACAGTTCCTGTCAACCAGTTGTTGGCTTGTGCCCTGAAACAGATTCGTCATATATACATTATATATTAGTTCAGCTAGTATAACTCTAGAGGTTCTCATTATCTATATTTCTATCCGACCCTTTTTCAAAATTCCATGATTTCCAAATCTCAATGCTATCTAGTGGAAATGAGTTCCATAGGGTTATATAAACTTCCCTTAGTAGTTTGTTCCAGTGGTTAATCACTCACCTTTAAAAATTTGGTACTTATTGATAATTCAAATTTAGCTTGCTTCAGCTTGCAGTCATTGGTGGTGGCCCTGCCTTTTTCCATTAGATTAAACAGCCCTTTAGGAGCTGGGATTTTCTCTCTATAAAAGCATTTAAATTGTAATCAAATCACTCTCAATCTTCTTTTTGAAAAGCTAAACCAATTGAACTCTCTAAGTCCCTCACTGTAAGGCATTTTGTCTAGTCTTGTTATCATTTTTGTGCCTCCTCTCTGTATGTTCTGTGACAGCCTCTCTGCCAGTGTGGAGGCTGCGCTGAAGGCCAAGCTTTCCACTGTAAGGCATGCAAAGCACAAGGCAAACTCTGTCAGTGCATACCCAGTGTCTAGTACAAAGTTACTATTTAAAATCACTCGCCTTATTACACTGAAGTGCAAACCAGAATGTAATCTGTATCCCTAGCTATTCAGTGAACCGGTTTGCTGTTCCTGCCAAGAGTATGAGTATGACCTAGCGGCACGGGCAATGGGCCCTGTGCTGCAACTTCTGGGAAACATGGGCAGTGCTTGGTTACCAGGGACCAGCATTAACTCTCCCAAATACTGGTCTTTGTCCGAGGCAGCTCAGGGGGAGGGGCGTGGGGCAGCCATGAGAACACAGGACCCCCGCTTCCCTTAATGCTGATGGTATCAGGCACCCTGGACTTGCAGATTCTGAGGTCAATGCCCATCCCTGCCACCCAAACCACCAATATGTTAGGAAAACTGGTTGAGGGACCTGGAAATCACAATGGGCGCGGGATCACATGCTCTATTGTTTTCAGTGTGAGCACCTGTAATGAAAACTTCCACCGTCTCCCGTAGGTGACCCGATGTGATATCAGTCTTGTGAGGGTAACAGAGGTGTCAAGGGAGCAGATGCTGCAAGATTTTGGATACAGACCTGGTCCTCGTGCTGCAATGATATGTACCGCAATGATGCCAGCAGAATTAATACTGTAGTGGCGTGGGAAAGTGTCCTTAACAGGCAAGTTGCCACTCCCAACAGATAAACTGCTATTCTCCACATTATACTGAGCTACTTTAAGCAAATCACTTCTACCTGGGTCAGGCTCACTTTTACAAACTTCATTTTTACAAACTTCAGTTGCCAGCAATCCATCACTCATAAAAAAATCTACCCTTTTCTTCCTTAATGAGGGCTTTAACCTGATCATCAACTTTAAGCTGCTCTAGAGAAACATTTCCCCCATAAATGAGCTCTCTTTGTGCTTTATCTAATTTCAGACTCACTTCTGAGATACTAGACAGACCTTCAGAAACTTCATTCACATATAAATTGCTTTTTTGCACAAACAGCTATTTTTCACCTTCCCCAGGTTAGAGACAACCTCTCTCTGGTCATAGCAAAATTGGTTAAACACAGGCAATTGCTCAGAGTCATACAACATACTATCATTGTTATAAACTGGACTTTCCAGATGATACAGTTTCTGCTGTTCTTCCATTGCTTTTTGGATTTCAAGCTTAAGTTTGTCCACCTTTGCCTTAGCTTAGCTGTGGTGAGCTTCTTTGGCTCTTTCTGCAGCTTGTTTGGCTTGGCACATCTCACCCCTGCACTAGTATGATTTGAAACCCAACGCCCTCTGAAATGGATCATTTTGAAAAAGCAGCTCCATCTGGCTGCGCGTCCAGGCAGAGCTGGCATGTCTGTGCAAACTCAGGCTGCTCCTGAAGTCGTTTCCCCCAGCTCATCAATAGATGTCAGGGCAGAGCCCATTCAGGCTGGCTGACACCTGCCTGCACACCCTCAGGTGAGACCCGAGCAATCCATCCCTATGGACTGAGCCCTCCTGAGCGAGTCCTCTGTGTCTGTGACATTGGGGTGTGTGTGTGTGTGTGTGTGTCTGGGGGGTTGCCAATTTTGGTTGGACCTATTCCTGGAGGTTTCATCACATGACAATTTTTAATTAAAGAGTAATCTTGAATTCCTGGAGACTCTAGGCCAATCCTGGAGGCTTGGCAACCCCCAATTGGGGGCGCAGAGTTCAGCCCCATGTTCTCCCCCGACCCGGCGCAGGTGCCTCTGAGGAGATGGGTCACAGGGGGAAGGGCAGAGCAGCTCCCTGCACAGTGTTAGGTACGAATAATTAAACCTGAGGCAGTTATGCCAGCTGAACCGAAGTCAGGCCAATAAAGGTTGCTGGGCAAGTCCCTGAAGGAGATAAGCAGAATGACAGAATACTTGTTTAAGTTGCCGGGAGTGAGATGGGGGAGACCTGCATTCCTGCTTTTTTGTACCAGATGTTCTGAGAACGGTTTGTTCCTGCGTTTGTTCTACCTCTGTTCTTAACTCCTTGTCTCCTGTTGGACACCCATACTGATAAGGAATTTGGTGAGGCATTAGGACTTGCTGAGAGCTACATGCAACAGGGGGCTAGCAATGCATGCCTAACAGAGAAAGAGAACTTTTAACTAACATAGGGGGAGGGGTGGGCTGCTGTGTGAATAATCTGTGAGGCCACGGACCTGTCTCTAAAAACCTACCACTTTTACCTAAAGGAGCAGCTGGCTCTCCTTGGAGAGGGGCCGCTCTCCACTGTTGTGTGCGCTCCTCAAGGAAGAGCCTGTGCTTGGCCCTTGCCGGTCTTGCCTGTCTCTCTCCGGTCAGACAAGGAACCCCGCCCTCCGGGCTTCCAGGCCTCGACGACAGGATGAATCAAAGCGCACAGAGGTAGGGGATTGCGGGCAGCGGCCATTAAAGGGGGAGGGGGAAGAGGGAGGCGGGCGCTGTGGTAGATACAGTGAGGGGGAGGCGGATGCCAGAGCCGTTCCACAGCGGGCCATGGAGAGGTGGGCGCCGTGGCGGTTACTGAGGGGAGCGGTGGGGGCGGTCGCGGCGGCCGTTACGGGGGGGAGGGGCAGGCGGGCGCGGCGGCCGTTACGGGGGCGCTGTGGCCGTTACGGGGGGGAGGGGCAGGCGGGCGCGGCGGCCGTTACGGGGGGGAGGGGCAGGCGGGCGCCCCGCTCCCCTCAGCAGCCGGTTTCCCGTCGCACGCCGCGGCCAGACTCCCGGCGTTGCCGGGCCGGTTCCGTCCTGCTCCGCCTAAGAGCCGGGCGCCCCGAGTAACCCCGGCTGCGGCCGCTGCCCGGCCTGGGGTGACCCCGCGCCCGGCTGGGCTGGGGGGGGCCGGGGCGCTCCCTGCCAGTGGCCGAGGGGACCCCCGCGCGAGGGCGGGGCGACTAGCAGGTCGCCGGGGGAGGGGGAACATCTGCCCTGGCCGCAGTCCCAGGGCGTGGGGGGCAGAGGGGCTCCCCCCCTTTCCGGGGGCCGCAGCTCAGCACCCGCTCCCCGAGAAGCGCCCCCCGCGCTTGGCCGGGGCAGGTTGTCCCCAGCTGCTAAGGGAGACCTGCCCCCCTGCAACACCCCCCCCCCCCCCCCCGAGGCGCTACTGCTGCGCCCTGGTTTCCGTGTTTAAACCGATCCGGATTCGGTTCCGGTGTCTACACAAAGCCTCCGAGCCCGCCCCAAGTGCCACCTCCCTGCTGCTCTGACTTGCCCTGCCCGAGTCCCCCGCCGTACGCGGCCTTTCCCGCCTTTCGCCGATTTATCCAGGATTTGCCGGCTCTGAGCATCCCGTCATTTACCTTCATGAACGTCGTGCAGGTGGACGTCGTGCAAAGAAACAGTGAAAATAGGGCTGTCAAGCGATTAAAAAAAATAATCGCAATTAAAAAAATTAATTGCGATTAATCACAGTGTTATACAAAAAGTAGAATACCATTTATTTAAATATTTTTGGATGCAGTCTACCTTTTCAAATATATTGATTTCAGTTACAACGTAGGACACGAAGTGTACGGTGCTGACTTTATATTTATTTTTGATTACAAGTATTTGCAGTGTAAAAAACCAAAAGAAATAGTATTTTTCAATTCACCTAATACAAGTACTGTAGTGCAATCTCTTTATCATGAAAGTTGAACTTACAAATGTAGAGTTGTGTACAAAAAAACCCTGCATTCAAAAATAAAACGATGTAAAATTGTAGAGCCTGCAAGTCCATTTAGTCCTACTTCTTGTTTAGCCAATTGTTCAGAAAAGCAAGGTTGTTTACATTTGCAGGAGATAATGCTGCCCACTTCTTGCTTACAATAAAAAGAAAGGGAGGACTTGTGGCACCTTAGAGACTAACAAATTTATTTGAGCACAAGCTTTCGTGATCTACAGCTCACTTCATCGGATGCAGGCAGTGGAAAATACAGTGGGGAGATTTATATACACAGAGAACATGAAACAATGGGTGTTACCATACACACTGTAACAAGAGTGATCAGGTAAGGTGAGCTATTACCAGCAGGAGAGCGCGGGGGACGGACGGACGGACCTTTTGTAGTGATAATCAAGGTGGGCCATTTGCAGCAGTTGACAAGAACATGTGAGGAATAGTGGGCGGGGCGGGGGGGAATAAACATGGGGAAATAATTTTACTTTGTGTAATGACACATCCATTCCCAGTCTTTATTCAAGCTTAAGTTAATTGTATCCAGTTTGCAAATTAATTCCAATTCAGCAGTCTCTCTCTTTGGAGTCTGTTTTTGAAGTTTTTTTCTTGAAGAATTGCCACTTTTAGGTCTGTAATTGAGTGACTAAAGAGATTGACGTGTTCTCCGACTGGTTTTTGAATGTTATAATTCTTGATGTCTGATTTGTGTCCATTTATTTTTTTATGTAGAGACTGTCCAGTTTGGCCAATGTACATGGCAGAGGGGCACTGCTGGCACATGATGGCATATATCACATTGGTCGATGTGCAGGTGAACGAGCCTCTGATAGTGCGGCTGATGTGATTAGGCCCTATGATGGTGTCCCCTGAACTCACTACCTACTACAGGACAGGCCCAACAAAGAAAATAACAGAACGCCACTAGCCATCACCTTCAGCCCCCAACTAAAACATCTCCAGCGCATCATCAAGGATCTACAACCTATCCTGAAGGACGATCCCTCACTCTCACAGATCTTGGGAGTCAGGCCAGTCCTTGCTTACAGACAGCCCCCCAACCTGAAGCAAATACTCACCAGCAACCACACAACAAAACCACTAACCCAGGAACCTATCCTTGCAACAAAGCCCGTTGCCAACTGTGTCCACATATCTATTCAGGGGACACCATCATAGGGATACAGACTAACATGGCTGCTACTCTGATTCTTGTTTACAATGTCACCTGAAAGTGAGAATAGGCGTTCTCATTGCACTATTGTAGCCAGCGTCACAAGATATTTTCATGCCAGATGCGCTAAATATTCATATGTCCCTTCATGCTTCAACCACCATTCATGCTGTTGACGGGTTCTGCTTGATAACAATATAAAGCGATGCGGACTGATACATGTTCATTTTCATGATCTGAGTCAGATGCCACCAGCAGAAGGTTAATTTTCTTTTTGGTGGTTCAGGTTCTGTAGTTTTCACATCAGAGTGTTGCTTTTTTAAGACTTCTGAAAGAATGCTCCACACCTCGTCTCTCAGATTTTTGGAAGGCATTTCAGATTTTTAAACCTTGGGTTGAGTGCTGTAGCTATGTTTAGAAATCTCACGTTGGTACCTTCTTTGCGTTTTTGTCAAATCTGCTGTGAAAGTGTTCTTAAAATGAACAACATGTGCTGGGTCATCATCTGAGACTGCTATAACATGAAATATATGCCAGAATGCAGGTAAAACAGAGCAGGGGACATACAATTCTCCCCTAAGGAGTTCAGTGACAAATTTAATTAACATATTTTTTTTTAAATGAGCATCATCAGCAGGGAGGCATGTCCTCTGGAATGGTGGCTGAAGCATGAATGGGCATATGAATGTTTAGCATATCTGGCACATAAATACCTTGCAATGCTGGCTACAAAAGTGCCATGCAAATGCCTGTTCTCCCTTTCTGGTGACATTATAAATAAGAGGGCAGCATTATCTCCTGTAAATGTAAACAAACTTGTTTGTCTTAGTGATTTGCTGAACAAGAAGTAGGACTGGTGGACTTGTAGGCTCTAAAGTTTTGCATTGTTTTGTTTTTGAGTGCAGTTATGTAATAAAAAAATCATCTACATTTGTAAATTGCACTTTCACAACAAAGAGATTATACTACAGTACTTGTATGGGGTGAATTGAAAAATACTATTTCTTTTTATCATTTTAACAGTGCAAATATTTGTAATAAAAATAATATACACTTTGATTTCAATTACAACACAGAATACAGTATATATGAAAATGTAGAAAAACATCCAAAATATTTAATAAATTGCTATTGGTATTCTATTGTTCAACAGTGCGATTAAAACTGATCAGTCAAGATTAATTTTTTTTCGGTTAATCATGTGAGTTAACTGCAATTAATTGACAGTTGAAAATATTAGTTGAAAATATTAATAGTTGTTAGTAGCTTTAGCAGTCATGTCTCACAGTATTTCTAGTATAGCGCTTCCTGTTTGTATTGCCATATTAATTTTTAATGCTAAGTGCTTGTTTTTATCTTACCCACTATTCTGTGGGAACATATGACTTCAAGGTGGACTGATTTTCATCATCCTGCAAATACTGAATCCATCATCCTGTAATCCATCATCCTGCAAATACTGAAGTTCACACTTTCCTCTTCTATTAATTCGTTGCATACACAGATGTTGATTTTTGTACTGAATTGTTTGTACATCTAATTGCATATTTTAATTTCATAGCCTTTTATGTATGCTATATATTTTGTTATGGCACATTTCAGTGATGTTCTTCATTCTGACAAATTTATTGTTCTTTACTGCTAAAGTCAAGGATTTTTTTTTTTTAATGAATATACTATTACCCCTTTGCATTGGTTGTGGGGTGGGCATAGTGATGATATCACTTAACATCTTCAAGTAATGTCCCTGTGGGTGGTCCACTTTAGTTGTCGGTGTGTCCCTGTGCTATTGATGGGAGAATTTCAGCAGCAGACCTTACCCCCACTATTCCTTCTTAACCGTCCTCGGCCAGAGATGGAGCATGGAGTTCCCAGCGGTGCCCCGACTCAAGCTCATTTTAGGTTTAAAAGTAGTTAGAAATAGTTAAAAACAGTTCATAGTTATTTAGTTACTTTTCTCCTTCTTCTGTTCTAGTTAAAAAAAAATTCTTTCTGAGAGACTGTTAGGGTCTATACCTGGGGCTAACTGTCCCTTTTTCAACTATGCCTGGTTCACCAGGATTTAAACGCTGTATCCTATGCCAGGATGCTATCCACGTGTCAGGTAGCCATTCATACTGTGTCCGCTGCCTTGGTGAGTCGCACATTCCCCAAAAGTGCGCTCACTGCAGTAACCTGTAGGCTAGGCGAGACAGAGATCTGTGCCTCAAGCTCATTCTTATGGAATAATCTCTCTGCCTGGCCTTTGACCCCAGGCAGCAAACCCCCTCTGGACGAAGATCCCTGGAGACTTCACCCTCTGCTCAGAGGAAGGCTCACTCCTCAAAAAAATCATTGAGGAAATAAGTGACAACTTCTCAGAGAGAGCTGACCAAAAATAAATGTTTCCCAGCCAGGTCGCTCTCCTTAGTACTGACTGCACTGTGGCTAAGTACCTTTGATGCATCAGGATCCTCTGGCACCACGCATAGCCTCTCCATCCTCCAGTGAGGAAGAGGATGATGAGGAAGAGGGCATCTTCTCCTCACACCACTCTTCACCTATCCGAACAATGCCAACCTCTGGAACCCTAAGATCAAGGTCCCAATATTGACAGTGGTATGGGCATCTATGGATGGGCCCACTCATAACTTTCCCCATGCAATGGCCTCACTGGGACCCTTGGGCCGCCTATAGAAGACATTATAGCAGACCACCCAGTCCCTATAGGGTGAGGATTAGATTGCCTCCACCTTCGGTGCCAGCTATGTCAGAACCCCCAGAGGAAACAGTGGTAGACAGGGAGGAGACGATAGAGTAGGACACCACACCACCTACTCATAACTCCTCGTCCTCACCAGATGAGGCCATAATGCCCCCACCTCCTATGACTGCTGATGATTTCAAGCAATTTCAGAAACTATTCAAATGGGTAGTGGAAGGTCTGAAACCCAACCCAAACTCCTGGAGATTCTCCAAACTTCGTTCACTTCAAAATTAGCACTGCCTATCAATGATGCGCTAATGGAACCAGCCAAAAATATGTGGAAAACCCTGGCAACCATTCTGCCCACAGGCAAGAGGACTGATACAAAATGTTACATACCCTCTATGGGCATGGACTTTCTTTTTTCCAACTCTCTGCCAAACTGTCTTGTGGTGGAGGCTGTAAATCAACATGGGAAACAACTTCAATGTAAGTCTACTCCCCAGGACAAGGAACAGAAGAGACTTGACTTTTTTTGGCTGCAAAGTTTACTTGTCGGCAACCTTGCAATTTTGAGTGGCCAACTACGTGGCACTATTGACAAAGTATGACTATGACAATTCCATTAAGACAATTAAATTTATTAATGACATCCCAGAGGACAAAAGGGACCAATTCAGATCCCTGGTGAATGAAGGTCAACTAGTTGCCAGAACTGTGCTCCAAGCATCCCTAGATGTGGTGGACACAGTCGCAAGATCTACAGCCACTGCAATTGTCATCCACAGGGCATCCTGGCACCACTCCGCGGGCCACTCAAAGCAGTTACAGTCCACGGTGGAGGATCTCCCCTTTGACAGAGAGAAACACTTTGCTGCAAAGATGGACAAGGTCCTCCACACCATGAAGGACTCACAAGCGACCCTCAGCACGCTGGGCATTTACACACCTGCAACGAAGAGGAGACAACACAGATCTCAACCATACCAACGTAACAGATATAACCAATTTGCCCAGTAATGACAGTACGAGTCACAATGCCAGAGACAAAGACATCAGAGACGACCACCACCTCAGCCACAATCCTCAACATCGCAATTGTCATCCGCGAAACAACAGTTTTGAGGGTTTGGTGGAGGGTCTAAACAACCTCCCCTACCCGACAGTGCTGACAACACCTACCACATCCCACTTTGGCCTCCGTTTATGCCCCTTCTACCTGGTGTGGGCGTCCATCTCTAGACAAGTGGGTCTTAGAGATTATGCGTTCTGGCTACTCCATCCCATTTACTTCCATTCCCTCCCACCCAAGCCCCCTCCCTGTCTCTCTTCAGGGACCCTTCTCACAAGCACCTTCTACAACAAGAAGTAAACCACCTTCGAGATCTAGGTGCCCTGGGACAAGTTCCTCCACAAAACAGGAGGAAGGATTTCTACTCCCACTACCTTTTAACCCAGAAGAAAAATGGAGTATGGAGACCCACTGTAGATCTCAGAAAGCTCAACAAGTTTGTGAGGGTCCAATGATTCAGGATGGTCACACTGGCAAAGATAATACCAACACTGAAATGGGGGGACTGGTTTTCAGTCCTCGACCTTCAAGATGCCTACTTCCACGTAAGAATTTATCCCACTCCCAGGAGGTTTCTCAGATTTACCCTGGGAACGGATCATTATCAGTACAGGGTCCTACCTTTTGGTCTTTCCACAACATTGTGAGTATTCTCCAACATTCTCGCAGTAGTGGTGGCACATTTCCACAAACAAGGGGTAATAATATTCCCCTACCTGGATGATTGTTTACTAAAAGGCCATACTTGGGCAGAGTCATTTGATATCACTCAACGGACAATCATTCTCTTTCTGAATCTAGGAATACAGATAAACAAAAATCAACCCTAATTCCTGTACAACAATTGGACTTCATTTGGGCCCACCTTGACTCTACAGAAGCCAAAGCATCAATACCAACAAAGAGATTTTTGACCATAACCAGCCTCATCTCTTCAGTGATGAATAGTCCACCTATCAGCACGTACCTGCCTCCAACTATGAGGTTGTTGGAGACCCCAGGGCATGGCCACTAGTTAAGTCGAGGGGATGGAAGGCCATAAGGGTCGAGGAAGTCTCCCTGCTGAAAGCCTAAGGGCTTCTTGTCAACCCCCCTTAATAGAACTCAGGCCTGGCTGGTTTGAGTAAGCTCTTTTGCTCTTAAAACAATGTTGCAGTTGTAGATAATGCCTCATAGTGTAAGGTTTGCTGACGCCAAGTTAAAGATAACAGGAGAGACAGCTACAAGGCCAGACAGGATGTGCTGGTTGTTTAAGTTGCTAGGAATGCTTGTTAGAGGTTGCAGGAAATAAACATTGTTGTAACCCATATAAGGAAGGCAGAGTATTTGTGCAAAGCTTTGATTGGCCGATGTGTAGTGCAGTAGCATTAAGGAATATACAAGTGTGTGTAATGACCTGCTCTGGTGTGCAGGATTTGAGATTTCTCTCCCTGTACCTTTCTTTGGAATTCCAAATAAACTTTTCTGCTTCTCCACCCTGTTGTGTTTATTGGGTGACGCACACCGGGCAACGAACCACTGCTGTTGTTTTGCTTCTGGGCACTGGGTGCCGGCAACAAGGTCATATGGCGACAACCACATATGTGGTATGGCATGCGCATCTCTACATGTGCTACATTCAGGGTTGGCTCAGAACTTTATACATACCACACAAACACAGCCTAAACAGACGCCTGACAATGCCGACCAAAGACAAAGACACTCTACCTTGGTGAACACAACCCAACAATGCATGCTCATGGATTCCCTTCACTCAGGACATACTTTTCATGATGTTCACAACCGCTACCTCCTTGATTGACTGGGGAGCTCACCTGGAATGTTAATAAATTCAAGGGCAGTGATCTCCCCTAGAAACACAATTACACATAAATCTACTAGAACTCTGTGTGGTTTTCAACCAATGTCTCCACTTCTTCCCCTTGATAAGGAACGAGATGGTACGAGTAATGACCAACAACATTGCCTGCATGTTCTATATAAATCATCAGGGAGGAGCCCAATCCCACCCCCTATGCACACATGCCATAAAACTGTGGAACTGGTGCATTTGATACAACATCAGCATCTCAGCCTCCTATCTTCCAGGCTGTCAGAACACAACAGTGGACACACTGAGCAGACAATTCTCCCAGAACATGAATGGGAACTGAACGATGTAGTCCCACAAAACATATTTCAACAATGGGGCAATCTATCCATCAACGTATTCACGACATCACAAAATCACAAATGACCACAATTTTGATCAAGAGCAGGTCGGGGACTGCGATTGCTAGGGGATGCCTTCCTCCTCAAATGGGATGCAATACTTCACTACATGTTCCCACCAATACCACTTCTATCGAAGGTTATTCACAAAATACATACCGACAAAGTGAAGGTCATACTGATAGCCCCAACATGGCCACAACAGATTTGTTATGCTTACCTACTGTGGATGGCTGTCTGTACACCATGCACTTTCCCACTTTGGACGGACCTCCTCTCACAGGATGCCGGCCAGGTTCACCACCCAAACCTGGAGAGACTTCAGTTGAAGGTGTGGCTCCTACATGGTTCCCTCATGGGGAACTAGCCTGCTCGGAACAGGTTAAACATTTATTACTAAACAGTAGGAGGACAACCACGCATAAGACTTACCTTCAGAAATGGAAGAGATTTTCCATATGGTGTCAGGTCAAACATGTTACTGCAATTTCTGCACTTGTCCCCTTGATCTTGGATTATCTCTTGGAGCTAAAACACTCGGGACTATCTACTACCACAATCAAAGTGCATTTTGCAGCAATTACTGTGTTCCACCACAAGATCGATGGAGCATCGTTATCTGCACATTCAATCACTAAATGTTTTCTAACGGGCATACAGAACATTTACCCTGAGGTACGCGCACCCTCGTCAACTTGAGATTTGAACCGGGTACTACGCTGCCTTACTGGGCCTCCATTCAAACCCTTAAGGATGTGTTCATTGACTCAACTATCCGTGAATGTAGCATTTTTAGTCACTGTCACTTCGGCCTGTCACCCCTCGGGTGAGACAGCGGCTCTTATGGCACATCCACCATCCACCATATTCTACAAGGACAAGGTCACCTTGAGACCATATCCAGAATTTGTACCCAAAATATCATCCTCCTTCCATATAAACCAACCAGTCCATCTTTCTGTATTCTTTCCCAAACCTCACGGGGAGTACACATGATGCTGTACTACATACCCTGGATGTACCATGGACTAGCGTTCTACCTTGATAGAACTAAGCCATTCAGAAGATCCCCGGGTTTTTTCATTTCTGTCACAGAATGCTCTAAAGGATTGGCTATTTCCACACAAAGACTATCAATATGGATCTCAGGGTGCATTCACCTCTGCTACCAACAAAAAACAATTTACAACAATCCCCAGCAGGGTTCAGAACTCATTCTACCAGATCTATAGCAACCTCAATAGCCTTTCTGAACAATGAACCACTCAAAGACATATGCAAAGCTGCCGCCTTGGCCTCTGAACATACATTCATAAAACATTACGCAATTGACCAGACCTCAGGCTCAGATACACTTCTAGGCCTAGCAGTACTATCTTCAATCACCCCTTCCATCCACAGAGGGCACTGCTCTATGGTCACCTTAAGTGGAGCACCCACAGGGACAAACATCTCGAAGAACCTCAGTTACTGCAGCAGGTGAGTAACCTTCTCTTACTGTTTTCAAACTCTTATTAAAGTAAAGGGGGGAATGCGTAATAATCAGTGCAGATAGCAACTCTGCCAAAAGCGGATGCATCTTTATCTTAGTATTAAGTTGTTGTCTTGTTTTCAAATTATGTGTTGTCCTTTCTTGGAAGGGCATGGTTAAGGGTAGGAAGGCCTCTCATCCTGAATTAAACCAGATGGTTATCTTTTTGAGAGGTTTGTTCCCTGTTCAGTCCTGGGAACAAAACCAGATCTGATTTTGTCTGGTATTGGGTGGGGGACGGCGGTCTGCTCTCTCTGGATTTTAAAAATGGCACCCCTCTGCGCTGTGTTACCTCACATGTGGGGCAGGGCACTCTTAAAAATAGTGGCCCCCCATGCGGCATGATCTCGTACGCACCATGCATATGAGGTCATGTTGGCGGGGCAGGTGGTGTGATCGTAAAGATGATGGCCCCCCATGCGGCATGACCTCACACGCATGCTGCCCCAATTCTTCTTGGAAGTACCAGAGTGTCCAAGAATTCCGAGAATAGTGTGCGTGGGAGGTGTTAGTTGCAGTGTCCTAGTAAATCCTGTGATTTCTATGAGTGAGTATTACAGTATGTCTGGTGAATGAGAAGAAATAACCATAGAGGTGGTTCAATAAAAGATATTACCACACACCCCTGTCTCTAATAACCATAGAGCTACACAGTTCTAGAGAGGACCAGGCTATGCTGTAAGGGGAACTAAATAAAAAAGGAACTTCCTGTTCTCAGCTGTTTCCTCATTTGGAAAACCCAATGAGGTCTGAGTCTCATTGTGTACTGAGGGATTAAATCCTTGATCTCTTCTGGTAAAACCCTGAGGAGATCATGTTTTCCTCCCCCTCATGTGCTGGCAAGAGCGGTGAGTAGGGGTGTCTGGGATAAGAGGAAGGAGATGCCCCTGCAGCGGCAAGAGATCTCTGTCAGGAGGAAGTTGTGCCAGTGACAAAGGGATCAGAGCCTGAACCCAGCATAGGGGAGGTCTGTGCAGCTGAGTCCAGCATAGTTCCCCCAGCCCAGCCAGCTCCAGGGCAGCATTCTGGTGGGTGGGAAGGACCTGTGCACCTGAGTCCTGCAGGCTCCTTCCCACTCAGCCAGCTTCTAGAATGTAAAGAGGGGAGGTCTGTGCAGCCAGAGCCCAGGAGGGGCCCCTCCAACCTAGCCAGCAACTGTTCTGCAAAACATTTTTTTAAAAAGCCTTGTGAAACGCAAAAGGCCTTAAGTATCAGAGGGGTAGCCATGTTAGTCTGTATCCACAAAAACAATGAGGAGTCCGGTGGCACCTTAAAGACTAACAGATTTATTTGAGCATAAGCTTTCGTAAAGTGGGTTTTTTACCCACGAAAGCTTATGTTCAAATAAATGTGTTAGTCTTTAAGGTGCCACCGGACTCCTCGTTGTTTTTACAAAAGGCCTTGTCCACACACACAAGGTGTAGTGCTTTAACAATACCAATACCAATATAAAGTGGTACAGCCCCACACCCTCCCCCCCACCCCCAGTCATTATTTTGTTACAAAAGTTCTTGTTCTTATGTAGGAAAGATGTACCAGTATAGTTATACTAGTGTAAGGAAGCTATATACTGGTATAACTGTCTCCATATTAGGAGATAACTACATTGGTAAGAAATAACACCACCAACTGAAATAGGTATAAAAGTACGGTATCTGTGTGTAGACTAGGCTTACGATCATGTCTACACTAGAAAACGTTTGCAGAAACTGGCAAAGCCTCCTAAAGTGCTTTTGCCACTATAGCTCAGACTAATTTCCCTCATGAAATAAACTATCTCAAACCAAATGGCAATTAACCTGGATGTTCAATGAAATAATTATAAAACTTTAAAACCATCACAACACAAAAAACGAAAAGCAAAGAATCAATCCTTCTCAATTCAATTTAAGCTTTTTTTTTTTTTTTTAAAAGCCTGTAAAACAATATATAGAAATAAAATGAGAAAAGGTAGGATGAAATTGATCCATTTAGGCCATAAAGAACATTAATTTCACAAAATTAATTTTTATTTCTGCTGCTGACCAGGCGAATAGGGCAACTACTCTTATAACTGAAATATTGAGATTGTCTCCACCAGAGAGCCTTGGCCAGTGAGCCTATGAGTGGAGACACAGCGTACACCAACAGAAGGAGTTTTTCCGCAACCATGTCTACCGCACCTCCTCAAATAACACTAGCTACACTATCAGAACCACTGTTCTGTCGGTGTTGGGGTGCCATTTCACCCATGTTGGCTGGGTGTGTGTGATTTTTTCCACTCACTCCTAGCCAGTATAGCTATGCTGGCAAAACTTTGCAGTGTAGACTAAGCCATCAGCACTACACATGAAATATTTGGCCCAGCTTATGAAACTCTACACTCAACTTGATGGCTTTTCTCTGTCTGTAATGTGATAGCTTTTGAACACCACATCTGATTAATTCGACAATATCAGGGAATGTTCTCTGCCTTGATACATTTTGGTGAAAATCAGAAAAATAGAAGGAGGAATATGGGTACACATGGAGCCCCTGGCATATGCTTAGCAGGCCCATTAACTTTTAAAAACTCTGAAATTATCTATAGATCAAAGAACCAGTTAATGGTTGCCATTAACCACTTTGGGCATAACAACACTCCCATTAGTATGTCCCAATGGAGTTTAAATATTGACACGCTGAATGACTTATCACCCAGACAAAGGAAAAGAAAGAATGGTGGGGCAGAATTGGAAGGCATGGAGGGGACAA